ATCTTGTGTTTTTTTTTTTTGTGATTTTAGTCTGTTGTAGGCTGTAATAGATATGTCTGATTAAAAAAAGAAGAAGAAGATCATGACCTGGTAGCACTGATTCAGAATCAGCACAATAGCAAAGATTTAGTTATCCTCTCAGTTTATATCAGTACATGTATATCTTCCCCTCAGAGGCGTCATTCAACTTTCACTTTGTACTTTATTTGTAAAGGTCTTTTTATGAAAGCACAGCACTGGCCAAGAGCAGCTTTAGAAAAAAATGAAGAAGATAAAAGGAAATCGAAAAACTGTCTCCACTGTAAACTCCACACTGAAAAAGGCAAAGGCAACAATAGCAAAGGAAAAACTTCCTGGGATGTTTAAGTGGATGAGGAAGATGCTGTGGCCTTCTTAATAATTTACTTTGACAATGACAATTTGTAGCACAACCAATGAAAATCTTTTGACTATTAAGTTGCATGAAGTAAAAAGTGAGAATAATTTGCTTAAGACTAAAAATTCTGTCAACACATGCATCCTCATGTTGCTTGAAACACATGTATGTGTTTGGTCACTGACTGTCAAATTCAGATGCAAATTTGGTTGGTTCCTCTGAAACAAGTTCCCTTTCGTGGAACTTCGAACTGCGTCCTCTAGGGGTCGCTATGGGGAACGCCTCGTCGTGACCCGTGTCTGAAGCCTACATTGAAAAAACACCAACTTGTTTGGCCGGCGACAGCCATGCTTATTTGCAGGAATTTGGGATAGGTTTTTACAAACTCACTCCTTTCACAACCCTACTTTCACAAAAAAAAAACAATTTCCAATGGGTAAAATGATTAGGGTCCAGTCCTACATTTTTCATATGGAATATCCTGTTTTGTCATAAATACAATAGAAAAAAGTAAAATGGCCTGCAAATGAAAAAGTATGGTGACTCCAAGTAAAAAATACTTAGATATAAATGAATAAAAACAAACAGTCAGACAGACAGACAGATAGACAGATGGACAGATAGATAGATAGATAGATAGATAGATAGTGCATGGGTCCCTTGGTAATTACATCCTCCCTGAAGAAGACTGATTTCAGAAGACCTTATGTCATGACATATTGCACACAAGACCACTGCTCTGATTACCATCGACATCAGCAGTAATTGCAGACGGTTTTGAATACCGTCACTTTTCATTGTGCTACATAGTCTGTCAAATGAAAGGCAGATATCTATAGTTCCAAAATAAGTTTTCCAGTACAGTCTGATATCACACCGTCTAGTGTTTCATTTCTTACTTGAGACACAAAAGCTTTGAAGATGATTTATACAGCTATTTATTTGATACTTTTTTTCAGTTCAGAGAAGTAAGTGGTTTGGGAATAAACCAGTGTTCATGATTTATGTTAGACTCACACAGCTCAACTCAGAGTGATTTGCTACAGCACCACAAGAGGCCACAGATTTAGCTTTGCATTTGCAAGTAACCCAGGGTAAACTCTGTCACTCACACATGATTATGACTTTTCCAGTAAGCTAACAGTTAGCTGCAGTACAGTCCTAGCTAACAAAAATATGTTCTAATATGTTCAAAATATTTTCAAAAATATGTCTGTGAAAAAAAAAAAAAATGTTTTTGTGCTAAAGTTTTGAGAACATTATTAAAGACCGATAACTTTGAATGAATGTTCTATCAATGTAACTGGAAAAACGTTTGTTCATAACTTTGCCAGACTTTTCAGAGAATGTTCCCTGTTAGCTGGGGTTGCAGTAAATTTTACAAGTAGTGGTGTAGTGTAATAAAATGCTACAACACAAAGTGTCATGTGTCAATAATCAATGCACAAACTCTGACTCATTCAAACTTGTTTATTATTTTTTTTTTCACTTATATATGCAGAGCTGGTAGGTCTTATTTAAATAATTTAAATAATCACTTCATCTGATGTTTAAAGTGAATAAAATAGCCTTGACAGCCTATTTAGTGGAGTTCCACAACTACTGAAGAATTTTGTTCTCTCCCACTGGACTTGTGTGTGTGTAGGTGAGGTAAAGGGGGAAAGAAAGCATGGACCAAAGCACTGTGAGGCAAGGGAGTGGGGACTCAAAATGTTTCTAAACTTAAAATGAATTTTTTTTTGCCCCGTTTGCGTTTGTATTGTTTTACTACTTGCACAATTATTTTACATATATATCATTATATTATTTACAATACACAGCATGTTTATTGATGATTTTAGGGAGGAGATACCCTGTTTGAAATGTTGTTTGATTGGAATAAATCGTAATATGATTGTAATATGTGTATTGTAATGGCGTGAAGAATCAGAGGTGGGGGTTGACGTCAACAACCACGGGATCAGAGACGGCGAGGGCCGCGAGCTGGTCTCTAGTCCCCACCGTGAAGAATCACACGACAAGAAATCTCAATCAATAGGAGGGTGGATTTATTGGGGTGAGGGGTGCTCGTGAGAAAGGTCCAGGTAGGTGCTCCGGTGCCGTGAGTGCTCTCTTCCGTCTTCCCAGTGCAGAGGGTCCGTGCAGTGCTCCTGTGGGGCTGGTCGGTCGGTCGCTGCTTACTGTGGGGAAAATGAGAGGGCGAGTTAGTGCTCAGTCTCATGGAGGAATCTCCTAGATGGCAGGGCTTCCGTGGCTTATGTAGCCGCCGCCTGATGAGGTGCAGCTGTGACCGATCAGCCTGTGATGATGATGGCCAGGTGCTCCTCGCTTGTTTCCAGGGCGACGCTGATGAAGCCTCGGGATGCTCGTCACAGTATTTAAAAATATATTGGCTCCTAGCATAGCTTCTTTTTGACTGGAAGAACAATGACCAAAGTATCTTCCCCAACACAGATAAGTAGAAAACACCCAATTTTCATCAAGATTACACAACATGAAATATCAAGACAAACAGTGATAAATGTGGAAAGTACATCAAGTCTGTGGTGGTCTTTGCAATTGAAAGGGTTCCACCGCAGGCCAGATAAAGATCACAACCAAGGACTTGCAGTGATAATATTGATGTTATTGCATCACAGTTCTTGGCGCTCAGAGTTTCACTCAATCATTCACTGGCCTTTCGATCATTTCTTTCTGTCTTCCTCAAATTAGCGTCTTATGGCCCTCGTTAAACTGCACCACATGTGCACATGTGTCCCTGTCTGAAACGAATCGTAGGGTGTTTCTCATTGAATGTGTATCACTCTCTCTCATACTCTTTGTTGTTCACTCTGCCCTCTCTCATCTCTAATGCAGAACAGGCACCTGGCTTCCCCAGGGCAGATCAATACTCTGCTCTGTTTCCCATGATGCAAGACCATTAATTAAAGCATCTAATCAAATAATTGTGCTCAAAATCTTTTTATGAACTCTAAATAATAATTTGTCACACATGTTGAGATATTGCTCTTCTGCTCCTGGCTCGTCTGTAGCTGTCGCCTTTCCTTCTGTGTATTTAAAAAATAGTCACTAGGCAGAATCTAATTTACAGTATATTTGAGATGATAATAGTACAATCCCTCTAGAAAAACCTGGGATTTAGTGTCTTGCACAATGTTTTATACAAAATAATAATAATTGAAAGAAATTAATTTCAAACATACAATGATTTGATACGTACATATCTTGATATGATGAGGATGTTTTTCATTTCTGCTTTAAAATTTATTTAGATTTTTTATTATGGGACGTAAAAAAAAATGCAGAAGAAAAAAAAAATCATTATAACGTAAGTGTCACGCTGACACACACACGAGGAATGAGGAGACGCTGGAGAATACTTTTACCAAGACTTTATTTGCACCAAGGAACCAAGGGAGACGAACACAGGAAGACGTTCACACGAAGACCTTCAACAGCGGACAGAGAACTAGGGACTGGGAACACTATTTATACACACAGGAGGAGGGGATGACGAGACACACCTGGGAGCAAATGACACATCAAGGGAAACACCTGGGACAAATGAACTAAACTAATCAGGGGAAGAACAGGAAACTAATCAAGGGCATGGGAAGGCACATGGGGAGCAGGACACACACAAAACATGGAACAGAGTCTGACAGTAAGTGCTTTAATGCACTTGCAAAACTTTATCAGCAAAAATCAATGTTGTGTGGTCCAACCAACATGCTGAAAAAACATAAAACAGGAAATTACATCATAAAACCCTTCAGATGTAATGTCAAGTCTCTTAAATCAGAAAATGTGACCTTTTTAATGATAAAAACAAGTGTGGTGCAACTCAACTAAAACATAAAGATATGGGGGAAAAAGTGAGATTAAAACTAATGTGGGAGATTTTGTTTCTTGATATATGTATATTTTGTGTTATTTGTTTTTGTATTGACTTCAGCTAGTTTTATGCATAAATAAACAACAAATTGAGGAAGGATTTTGTGCCAGATAGTCTTTTGACCGTGAGGAAAGCTAAAATTCCTGTTTTTGGATCTTGTTTTTGAGTTCCATTTCTTTCATTTTGACAAAGAAAAGTCAAATTTTACATTACAAGTTATGGATTCACGTGTCAAATCCTTTGTGCAACACTGTATGTGGAAATGGTGAAGAACGGAAAAAGGCGCATACCATGAAAATGGTATGAAAACCATATCACATTTATATGAAACCAACTTTGCACATGTTTTAGACTTGATTTCACCTTTTCTTTTTTTGTGAACATTCTTGTACATCATTGGCCCTCATATATATATATTTTAGCTCAGGCAGATAGACTAGAAAACTTCATTAAGTTGTACAAAAACCCTTTTGTGTGTTTGTTTCTTACAAACTGTGACCTCTGTCAAAGGACACATCCAGGATGCATCTTCTCTCCAGCCTCTGCCAACAATGCATCTTCTGTACACCAACATATGATGACCAGAAGTGGGTGGAAAGGTGGCAGTTCATGTACAAACTCTCTGGCAGCTGCAGTTCCCTCATTCCTTCTGTCCCACAAACAGAGAGGCAGTGTGTGACCCCTGCATTAACGGATCTGTCTGTACACTCCCAGTTACCTCATGCTCAACTAGCTGAAACTAGACAGGAAATCAGACTGTGCCAGTTTGAAGTGGTTCTGTATGTCACAAAAAGCCCATCATTTTGACATAATTTATATTTTTAATGATTTATAATGAATTTGTTGAGTTCATCTGGAATATACTATAAAATATGGCAAACAACAATCGAAAAGGAAAAGGACAACACACACACACACACACACACACACACACAGTGTCAGATAATTATATTGGTGAATTAAGTGATTTGGAGTCTGAGAACTGTCTTTTAATCACTTTAACCTAACATCACCTAAACTATTTGCAAACCAGGTGATAAGGCTATTCGGTTATTCAAAACATAAATCAGAGGGAGTTTCCAGGGAACTTTTTTGAGGTTGTACACTCCGGTTGCACTTTAAGCACCGCTTTAGCAAACATGTGAGCATACATGCATGTGAATGTGTAAACAGCTGAAATAATTGGATCCCGGTTCTTTCATCCGATGCCGACCTTCTCCACCCTTTGCTAATGACACGTCTGAAAAGTATGTTCAGATGATTATGAAATCACTTCAAAGGAAAACTTTGATGAACATGTGGATGTGAAAAAACTCGGAAACTGACACTTAACAGAGGCAAAATAAATATAGGCCTTAAAGAAAATATTAACAGAAATTAAAACTGATATTCTTGACATCACTGTGAATTATTTATTGGTGTACATTGTTTCATAGAAAAAAGTTTGGTTTTGTAATGTTTAATCAAAGTGTAATAATCTTGTTTTTTTCTCTGAAAAGTCTTTGCATTGAAGTAACTTCACATTACACAATCCAACAGATTCCCGCTCTATATGTTTTCTCATTGAATATTCTCTTTCACTTGGTAATGGGCCATTCTGTACATTTATGACAGTAAAATGTGTTGGAAAATTTACATTGACTTTAAAATTATCTATTTAAAATAGATTATGGCTGATTTAATTTATGTGTTCCCACAACTGAATGTCACTATACTATATTTAATCTAATTATGTGTAAAACAATTCTTGTTACAACTGCCAATTAATCAAACCTAAATGACTGCCAATCATTATAGGCTTTACTCATGCCAATACACATTCAATGATCAAACACTCAAAGTTAAAATGCCATTTCAGGATATACAGTTTAACGATCTGCAATCACATAAAGAAAGCAAGCGATATTGTGCAGTTCTCATATGCCATACATTTTCTCCTACCTTAGAACTTGTGTTTATTTAGCTCTATGTAATATAAATAGTTTTTGGTCTTGGTAATCAGTCTTGTTACATTTTGTGCTTTATGTCCAGCATGAACAAATGTTAAGGAAAGAAAAACTACGAGAGAGTCATCAGTTACTGAGTTTTCTCTCCCTGGCCATCACAGACATTGTACCTCCAGTCTACTTCACAGCAATATTCTGTCTGCGCTCTGTCAAGACATCTGTTTTTAATTTTCCACTTGCCAAAAGTGCAGTTAACCTGCATTTGACTGGTATTATTGTCTATGCATGGAGAGAGAATACTTCAAGGATGTATTCAATTTACAATGTAATAGAACAATGATTAATTGCGACAAATGAATCAGTTCTCAAAAATCAGACTGTTGTTAGATGTTCAGAGAAATGCCAGAGAAATAGTTTGAACAAGACAGACTTATTATTTTAGCGTGTCTTTTCTGTTCTAATGCAGTTCTAAAAGTCAGTTCAGTTCAGTTCTCATCAAATAGTGTCTGTGCAATCAAGTCAACAATGTTGCCAGAAACTGTATCCCCAAATAAGCAAACTAAAGGCAACAGTGGCAAGGAACCAAAACTCCATCGGTGACAGAAATGGAGGCAAAACAAAAACCTTGGGAGAAACCAAGCTCAGTCGGGGGGCCAGTTCTCCTCTGGTCAGACGAAACCAGCATTTAATTCCAGGCTGCAACACATGTCAGATTAAGCAGAGGACTCGTCTGGTTCTCATGGTCTTGTGCCGATGGCCAACGAGGTCTTCACAGGGGATCTCTCTCTATGGTTAGTCTAGTTGACATGGTCTCCGCTGACATTCAGAGCTGTAGAGGTCATCTATAGGTGCTGATTCACCATCTGGACTGGATACGGACTGGATCTGGGTGGCTACGGTGACCTCGGAATAAGAATAAACAGACTAATGTTAGCGTAGATGCCATTCTTCTTACGATGTAGCGAGTATATCTGGTGTTATGGGAAGTGTTCCCGGTTCCGGTTGGCCTAATTAATGTAGCCTAACAGTCCTTTAACAGATTTGAATTATAGAAAAGTGATTGTGTGTTATGTCTTTGCCAGGTTAAAGAGATGGTGTTACGTTCACCAGCTGGAGTGCCCATGAGCTCCTCCAGAGGGCACTCCACCCCAGACTGTTGTCACTCCCTCACTAACTACATTCCCCATAATCCTTTGCCTGGACTCTTGATCACTGATTGCAGTCACCTACTGTATGTCCAGTTACCTCCATCAGTCTCACCCTATTTAAAGCCTGGTTTTTCACTCATTCATTGCTCAATATTGTTAGCCTGTAGCGTTCCCTAGTTCCTGTGTCTTTCCGTGTTTTCATAGTTCCTTGTTTTCTTGCCTTGCCTTAGTGTTTTTGACCCTGGACTGTTTCCTTGTTTCCGATTGTTTGCTGCCTGCCCTGACCTTCGCCTGTTTTGTAGATTACTCTTTTGTCTCACCCTGGATTATACCTGTTTGCTGGGTGTGTGTGAGACCCTGCCTTGCCCACTCTTTTGAATAAATCCTGCACTTGGATCCACTACTGCGTTGTACCGCCTCCCAATGTTACAGATGGGTCCTTAATCTATATTTAAACTGAAAGAGTGTGTTTGCCTCCTGAACAAAGCTATATAGATTGTTCCAGAGTTTGGGCGATAACTAGGAAAAGGATCTGCCGCCCGCAGTTGATTTTGATATTCTAGGTATTATCAAATAACCAGAGTTTTGAGATCACAGCGGACGTGAAGGACAATAATGCGATAAGAGCTCACTCAAGTACTGAGGAGCTAAACCATTGGCTTTATGAGTAATTAGCAAGATTTTAAATGTATACAATGTTTAATAGGGAGCCAGTGCAGTGTTAAGTGTCAAGTTATGAATTGTTGTATAAAACTCTTATATTAGCATAGCAATAACCAATGTTTCAGTAACTTTCATTCGTGCTTATTGCTTTTGGACACTATGGCACAAGGTCATGCAATTTTGAAATTGTGCAGTTTTTTTCAATATTATGTAATGCACTTTTAGTATACTCCACATGCAAAGGGTTAATTCGTCTCTTCTTCACTGCAGGTAATCAAGACTGAATTATCCATGCTCATTGCTACATCTTGAAACTGTGCCTTCTTCCTTAAATCCCTTTGGCTCATGATACAAAACCTCGAACCTAAAAAGTTTGGGAGTGCCTCTTATAAAATCATATGTTTTGAATTTCAAAAGCTGCTCACAAACGTGTAAAAGAGATTGTGGTGTGTGCTCAGTCGTATGTAAGTGAGTGAACAGATGTTGCACAAATGACTAGATAATTTATGTAATATAAAGCACAATGCCGCATGGATTTCACAGCCAGTCCCAGCCCACACCCAGTCCCACAGGATCCAACAGAACAGCACTCCTATCTTGTGAGCACAGCAGTGTTAGTCATCTATTCTTCCAGTTGCAGGAAGTCCCCTGGTTTATTTAGCATCTTGAACGCAAAGTATCAAATAGCATCAAAATCAAACAACCAAACATTTGAAATAAATTTGCATCCTGATGCATCTTCAATCAAAGAACTGCAACACCCAATCACAAAATGATACACTCCAGGTTCTTGCATGTTCATTTCTAACATATTTTACCTCATATAAAGCCATTTATATGCCCAATATCAACTATATTGCTAGTTTATTTGTGGTCTGCTAATATAAATAGTTCAAAAGCAAAACAAAGGTTTCATGCCTCCGAGCAAAACACAGTAATGATGATCTTGAATTAAAGTTTTTAAATGAATTAGCTGAGTGACTGATTCAGGCTACGTTTACACTAGTACATTTTCGTTTTAAAACGCATAACTTTTGCTATGGTTACGCCTGTCATTTACACTACTCCAGCGTTTTCGACCCTCGAAAATGGAGACTTTCGAAAACGCTGCAGACCCCGTTTTTAGATGTTGCGTTTCAGTGTAAACGTCCCAAAACGGAGACTTTTGAAAACGATGGTGTGGCTGCCAACATTCACTCTGCGTATCCTTGACGACCGTGTAAACAATAGCATCATGCTCATTGTTGTACCTGCATGAATGGTCATGTTACATGCGTTTTCGGTTGTGTAGTGTTGATGGAGATTGTTTCTGAAATGCAGTGAAAACACAAGTGTTGACTAGGATTGTTTTCATTTTAAAACGCCGTTTTAAAACGAAAACGCACTAGTGTAAACAGGGCCTCAATGACTTACCCACGAAGATAGCCATTTATTTAGCTCCTGTGTGAATTTTTGCTTTTAACTGAATGATTCAGTGAATGATTCATTTGACTTTCTCATAAAGACAATCACTTATCGCCATTTACAGTGGAAAATTATATAACCTGCAGAAAGCATCGCTAAAAAGGTGAAGTCCAATGTGCATTTGGACTGTTATATTTCTGAACACTGCTTGACCAAGATGAAATTCAAGGATCAAGATTCTGCTATTTGTCCCCCCAAATCCACACAGAAAATGCAAAAGGTCCAGTTTCTGTCTGGGCCTAGTTGAGTGAATGATTCAATGATTCACTTGAGTGAATGATTCAATGACTTACTCATGAAGATTTGTTTGTCATTTATTTAATTCCTGAATGAATCTGTGAAACACTTTCGGAATGCTGCTTGACTAATCAATTTCACTTTTCCACAAATCCAAATCCAAAAAGTTTCAGCATCTGCCTGGACCTAAACATGGCAAATCTAGTCCATTCATCTTCTCTCTGAAGATACAAACTAGATGAGAACATTTCCCATGTGACTCACCACAATGTCAAAATTGTATCTGCTAATATGAACTGTGTAGGTAGAGGGCTGTGAGATTGTTTTGCATAGACACAAATATTAATATCAAAAGACATTATTTTTAGTGCAAAGATACTGAGCTGGGAATTTTTCTTCTTTTCACTATTTATTCACAACCTTTGACATGAGTTGGCTTGCAGATCTTGAAGTCTCCTAACAGATCTCATTCACATATTTGTCATCCGATGTTTGAAAAAGCCAGCTCATTTTAATCATCAGGCTCAGGGGAGACCCAACAGCAATCTGTGCTGTAAAGAGACCATTTGTTTTCTTCATTTATGAGAATTCAAGCTGGCATGATTTCTTCACAAACACACTGTGTTTTTGGTTTCTTTCTCCTTTTCTGCTCTGTTGTTGGCTCTGAAACTTGGACTGTATTTGTTGCATCTGGGATTAAGCCGTATTAAAGGACTTCAGATAAAAGTGGTTAAATAAAATATGGACAGTGATGCTTTACACAACAAATCTGGTATTGTTTCTGAAAAGGCTTTTATATTCTAGCTAAAGTGGACATTAAGTTTTCAACAAATGGCTCATTAACTTCATGCACCAAAAGTGCATTTTTATATCAAATGTAAATGTTTTCACTTTAAATGAGCAAAATATTGCACCAAATCATCACTGTGACATTACGACATACTCAGCGCATATCAACGCATGATTTGCAAATTCAGCTTGACCTGGGTTGCTCCTGGTGGAATATCTTTATTGTTCCTCTTAGACTGAGATTCGAGGAAGTGCTCACTCATTACATTTGTGTGTGTTCTATGTAAACGAAATGATGGTAAATCTCTTTTCTAGAGTAATTTTCAGAGTGGAAGCAGAACTCATCTCTTTTCATTCACACAGGGATGTTGAGTATGATGGATGAGGCTGTCAGACCCTGCTGCTAGAGGTTAATAAACATAAAGCGAAAGATTTGATTCAAAGACTCTGCAGTTTGCACTTCATACGCTGTTCTGGCAAGAGACTCACCCTGTGCAAAATTATACTCTTTCATTACTTTCTACTTTTTTGCTGTCTTTGCATCTGTCTTCTTGTAGAGAAATTCCCCCTCAAACAAACCTTGGTCCAAGTAATACACTTGTCTGGCTCTAACATCTGGATAAGTTGGTTTGTTGTTTGGTTCGCTGTGTTGGGTACTTTTCTGTAATCTGTATGAATGTGATTATGAGTAATGAGTGTGTTTTAAGGTACCTCCCTTCTTCAGTTTTGATACACGAAACATTTTATTGGATGCAGAAATAAAGGAGACTAGCTGAATAGAGCACTGAACAGATTCAATCTAGACACACAAAACAAAGGAAACCCAACAAATTAATCTGTACAGTATGATTTGTGCTGCTTGCATTTGAACCAGGAGTGCTGAATTACAATGTAAAACAACAACAACAACAACAACAAAACACTAGACATTAAATGTAATGTTATATAAAGTTATAAACGTTAGATAAAGTTAATAATGCTTGGAAAAATAATGAACTTAATTAGTAATTAGAAGTTTTTGCATTTTCATTTCTTTGTTTACTTACTATTTTGCAGTTGTAGCAGCTTACAACTTTCAGTAAAAAAGAAGTGCATATACAGTATCATATACTGCATTTACTGCACTGCTTTTCTATTACAATATACTCTGATTTTTAAAGTCAACCCAATAAGCAAAGCAGGTGAGCTGGATTAAAGAATCCATTTTTGTGAATTCAAATTTTTTTTAATTTTGACTCACCCCTTGTTTTCTGAAAAAAAAGAAAAAGAAAAAAAAATCAAGAATTTGGTGAAGTTTTGGCAATTGATTTTTTTTTTGTGGATTTAAAAAATAAAGCTTAAATGTGAAGTTTTTAATTTTCTTAACTCTTTTGTTAAAATGTGTGTATTATTTGAGCTGTAAAGCTATTCAAATGATATTTTTCATTTTAGTCATTTTCAGTCATTTTAGGTTGTATGGTGTTATGTTGTCATGGCAACAAAGTGAAAATTGCATATAAGTTTAACACATCATGTTAATATGCATGTTATGTCTATACTATATATTGGTAGAGTGATAATTTTAACATTTACTGATTGTCCCCATTCACATCCATTGTAAGAGTCTCACTGTAATGCAGATTTTTGTTTATTTATTTATTTGTTGTGACTTGACAATTAATTCAACTAACCATGCCAACTATTGCCTTTATTTTAGTTTTACTATAGTCTGTATGGATGTAAATTCTCACAAGTCTTACAGGAAGTTTCTGAGGCACCAGGTTTACAAAAGTGACCAATAAAGGTTGCATGTCCTAGTGAACCTTTGACCTGCCAGTTCCCCCCATGCAGCCTTTCAAATTACCTTTCCGTATGATACTTCCTGTCATGTGAGACAGATCAATGCAAGCAGAGCAGAGCTCCACACTGGGCCTATCGCTTAAAACCCATGACCTCATCTTGACATTGCAAATTTGATTCTTCTTGGTCCAATTAACACACCGATTGCTGAAATACCCAACAGATCTGGGTGATGTGAGAAATTCTTCAATAGGTAATACTGGAAGACTGCTGTCTCAGTGGAATATCCTTTAGGAATTTGCATGTTGCAAAGGGACCATTTGTCTTCATCACTGTGGATATTATCTGCCCAAACTTTCAGTTTAGGATGATTTATAACCATGTTGAATGGGCAGCCTGGGGTTTAAAGACTCCACGTGATGGGTTACACTGAGTTACGTGTCTCTGGTTTTATGATAGGTGGTCACCTCAGTCAACTTTTGGCCAATCCCCCACACATTCCATCCCTCTAAATTTAACCCCAATTACTTAATTTCACCAATTTTACCAATTGCACTTCTAATTGGGAAAGCACTTTCTTGTGCTGCAACCCTTGGTTGAAGTACAGAGGAACACTCTTGCCCTTATCAAAAACATTTGCTTGATCATTTCAGGATTAATTATCTTAAATCATGTTTGGGGATAAAATAAAACAAAAGTACACCAGGACGCCCAAGTCTGCATTTTGATGATGTGTGAGCAAAACTTTCAAAGGGTGAACAGAAACACCTCTCACCCTCAAAAACATGATTTTTTTTTTCACAGCCGTAGTCTGTTTTGATATCTTGCATGACTGAGTTATATTAATTTAAACAGAGTCATAAAGCTCCGTAGGATACAAAGAGTAGGCCAGAGAAGGAAAGGGGGCTCTCCAAGTTTTCAGAGCTAATGGTTCCTTATTCCCTTAAAGTAACTTCAAGACCTTTTAAACTTAAAAGACTTGAAAGATTTGAGTTCAATTTGGCCTCTACATTGAATTATGTATAACGTGCTAGCACTTTCAACTAAAATCTACTCAAGCACTCTAATTGTTTTATTAAAGAGACTACAATAACAGTAATGAAGGCTGTTTGGAATGTTGATTTTTACAGTATATGATTATTTAAAACCTCCCCAAGTTATATTTATTATTATTATTATTTATTTTAAGAATTCTCTATGTGAGTTTAGCAAAATATTGTGCTGTTCAAGATGCAAGTTGATCTTCATTTCACTAAAGATCTTCTCATGGATATGAGAGCATAGATGATGTTTGTCAAAAAGAATGACTGCAACTTGGCCACTGGTGAACATTTGTGACCACTTAATTTAGTTTGCATTGTATTAAAGGGGTCATCGGATGCAAAATTCACTTTTGTTGTTGTTTGAACATAAATGTGTGTTGGAAGTGTGTGTAAACATCCATCCTATAATGATAAAAATCCACCCACTGTTTTTTTTTAAATCCCGATTCTATAGAGTGATACAGTATGTTGTTAAAATTGCTAGAGAACACATACCTGTACATCTCCACCTACTCCTCCAACCATGGGATCTTCTTCCAGAACCTTCACCATCTCCACTGAGGAGGCCGGGTCCAACATGGTGTCTGAATCACATACCTGCATCCAGCATAATATAGGTACATCAAAAAAAGATAAGCACTGAAAAATATGAAAATGCCTGCAGTGATGCATTTTACATATGTTTGAACAAAATGTTCTCTGAGAAATTAAGTTGAACCAGTGTTTGCTCCACATGTACTGATGCATCACATTGTTCAACAAATTAAAAGATGCCTAATATCATCATTAATATGACGTGTTCCTTCGAAGAGATTTATCTTTGCTGCAAATATTATTCTTTTCCACCATCACATCTATTGTCCAGAAACCAGATTGTCTTTGTGTGATTGGTCGCAATAAAAATCCACTTGACCACACGTCACTTTCACTTAATGTATTTATGTGTCTTATGTATGTACATGTATTTATGTGACACGTTCCCTTGAGCTAAATAACCAATCGATGTCGTGTGTATGTGCTCCAAGATGGCATGGAAAATACCACTGATCTGTTCTGGAAGTGCCAGAAATAGCCTCGGGATATGCAAACGAATTCCCACAGAAGTACCTCAATGAACAGCATCAGTGTTATCTAGGAATGTACTTTCCTCACTCTCAGTGCACTACATGCTTCAGCCTAGCATCCACTTATGGAGTCACAAAAGCTTCTTTGTACAATTTGCCTGTGTTGCCCCCGTGTACTTAGCTAGGCAATGCTTGAGCTGCCTGAGAGAGATAGACTCACCTGTACGTAGTCGACACTTCTTCCCAGGGCTTTGAAGGGGGTGTACATGACCTCCCTCTTCCCACCCCACTTCTGCATGATGCACACACACTTATTGTTGAGAACCAGGCGAGAAACGTGCTGCAAGCTCTCGGCGTACGATTCTTCGGTTTCCTCTGGTCCTTTCTGGTGATAGTTGCTTTTCCAAATGTATGTGGATGCCTTGTCCCGGCCCATGATGTCCCGAAAGATCTCCATCATGTAGCTGTCATCATCATTGTTCCCGTCGATAACCATAATGACCTTTATCCCAGGGTAGGTGAGCCTCTTCACTGATATTAAACATTTTCTCAGGTAGTTGGGGTCTTCCTGATAGGCTGCGATGCAAAGGGCCAGTGACTTGTTAAGTTTGATCGGTGTTTCCAGGGAACGTTTCATGTTCCTATGTTCCAGTAGAGCAAAAAAACTCTGGATGATGAGGTGAATGACTAGAATTGCCCCATAAAGACCAAAGGACAAGTAGTTGCCTGCAGTCGTTATTAGCTTATACCCCATGATATAAGCAGTAGAGATTCCCACAAGCAGCAAAATGCCGAACAGTGTCGTCCCAACAATCCTCAAGTAGGTGATCACTTTATCACATCTCATCTGAAAAAAAAAAATAGGATATCATGTGTATATATCATGATTTGCCACTATTGGACCAAAGAAGTTCTCCTGTGGAACATAAAAGAAGATATTTTGAAAAATCAGAAGAACTGAAAATGTATTTTATTTTTTGTCCATGAAAGTCAGAAGGCCAAATGTTGTTTTGGATTCAGCTGACTATTGTATAGACAAAAACTGTTCTTCAAAATATCTTCTTTTGTGTTTCGCAGAGGAACTGAAGTGTGGAATGACATAAGGCAGAACCATCCCTTTCAGAACAACTTCATGGACAGCACTCATAAATAAAATCAAAGTGGATGTGTGGACAGCTTTGTGGTGACGATGACAGTTTTTTGCTCGAATGGATGCATAGAATACATGCATCTATTCTTGCCGCATAACCGTCAGTATATTTCAGACAGCATAATATTTCTACCTCTTGCCTCCTCTTCTGAATATCTGAGCAGTCTTCATGACCATTTGTTTAAAGTTTCCTAACTAATGCAGTTCTCCATCTGCTTGGCAGACGTGACTATGCAGCACCACCCTCTGACATCATCTGTTTATATCTTCGTGGGAACGCATGAACAGTGAAATTTAGATTTCAGAGGGCTCTACTAAATACCCTCTGTCTTATTACTGCTGAAGACGGCCATTGTATTAATGATGCCGTCTTGTTTTATCGGCGTTCACGACTCAAATCTAGTTTTATCTTTAATATTGTTCCTCTAGGTTCAAATTATTAAGCAGTTCTGGCCTGAGAGGGAGGTTGATCTGATGGACTACAGCACAGTGTGAGTCTAACGTCATCCTGCATGTTTACGTGGCCCTCTGGACCCTCCAAACCCCACCTTATCCACATAGACACGTGCAAGCCTGTTGGATTAATAGAAGCATGTGGTGTTAATGTCTCAAACGCCTGTACTGCTCTCGGGGTATACCCAAACCTGCTTTCATGTCTTGTTTAAACTCTAGATGACGGCTCATTTGAAAGTGCTAAGACTGCTGACAAGACAAAAAGTAGCCCACACCTAAAAGGACACTAACACTAATCACAGTCGTACAGGATATCTGAAGCATTGCTGTCTTTGTCAGTGAATTCATTTCGCATGTTTACACAAATTGGTACAGGCTTTGTGTCTCTAAGGATAAATGTGCAGGGTTTACATGTGCAGATTGACTCATCTCGTTGTGAATAGGGGGATGCGCCCCATTAGATAATCCCGTAGATGAAATGGTCCTGTGTGAAACATTTGCCATCCATAGATTTTGTCTGACTGAATGAAATATGGTAATTTGGGCCGTTCACACCAAGGACGATAACTATAAGGTTATTCTATGTGAACAGGGAAGCCCAAACTGCAAAAATAACGATAACGACACAGAGTAACAATATTGTTGGAATCACTTTCAGATCAACTTTAGTGAGCTTGAGCATTTAATATGACAAAACTCCATCACGCACTAAAAATAAACAATGTTATCATCCCTTGATGTGAATGCTAATATAGTTATCGTTATCTTTGTTGTTATGGTTCTAGAATAGCAGTTAAATATATGATGTTTTTGTTTGCATTACTAGTTGCCTGTATGTATATTAGCTTGTGTATATTATCTGGCTGTGATCCAACAGAGCAGGGAGGAGATAAAAAGCGTCGAGGATCACTGAGAGTTGAATCATCCTCAGTGGGGAACACTACACTGTAACTCCAGCTTTGAAGGTGGATGAAATATTGCAGTGCAGGAAAAGTATATTCGCATAAACCAAAGTGGACCCACGCCTGTAACGCCCCCTGAACACCACCAGAAAATGAGTTTGCTTATTTTATATATATAATCTAATAATTGTAATCTAATTATGCATGTGTTTAAAAAGGCTACTGAAACATACATATACTTGTATGTTACAAGAGTACATGCTGTTGTTGTGACTTTCTTTGGGTGGAACAAGCCACCGG